CCTTGAGTAGCCTCCACCATCCCTTGGTGGAGAGAGCTAGCCAAGAGCACCATAAAAACCTTCCACCTTCCCACCTTCATTTTCTCCCACCTTCACCTCCACCCTTTCAACATTGTTTTTCCACCACCCTTAAGGAACATCCAACCATCATCCTTCTTCCTAGACCGTGGAGAAAGAGGGAGCTCCTCCTTGAAAGCCAAAGAACACACCATGGAAGGAAAGAGCCCACCACCAAACCATCTAAGTATGGGGAGTGCCACTACTACTATCATTGTTCTACTAATGAGTGCAAGTCTCGCTCATTGAATTGCCGTAGTGCTGCCTTGAGAAAGGGAATCCCGACCTACATCTCTATCCGTGTTAGAGTAAGAAGTAGAAATAGTAATGTTTGACGTAAATGTAATTATTAGTGTAGTGAAATCTTTATGATTGAAGTTTGCTTCTCCAGAGCTAAAATCGAACTACCTACTGACCACCCCTATAACTAACTGAAGCCTGGAGTAGATCAGAATGAAAACTCATTTCGTTTTCAAGCCAAAGTAAAGTTAGAGCCCCTACTCTATTTAACGAACCAGGGAAAGGAAAGAGGAGAATCAGCGTTAGCGCAAGTGATCGAATGAGGAATCCAAATTCTTAAATTCACAATGGGCCAAAAGAAAGGAATTGCCTTGCCCTCGAAACCTGAAGCCCTAACCTTCTATCTTTCCCAATAGCCAATTCTGACATATCTCTGTTCGAATCAAAACTTCCTCTATTTGTTGGAAAAAAGTCCGCTCTTCAATCATCTACTCGGTCTACTATTTAAGATAGAAGCGAACCAGCTACTATAGACAGGACTTAGGGGTAGGTAGGCAAGAGAGGCTGGAGACACGGAACTATCCGCACAGTAAGAAGAAAGGACTAGAGCTTCACAAAAAGGCCATCAAGCTAGGTCAGAATCCTCAACTTAAGGCTAATGAAAAGAGAGTATAATTCTTTCAATAAAGGTATACCCCGGAACCAGCTCTTCATAAAGCCAGCTATTAAGAGCAATAAAACGGAGCGATGAAACCTTGAAGGCCATGAATAACCATCATGTCGTTGTTGAAGTGATCAGGTTGCGTGATCTCCACCCTTCTTAGAAAGACCTTAACACTAGCAATTGTGTTGGTCTTTCTATTAACCGAATCAGAGGTGACGATGATGCAACAACCTAGACTCAAGGTCTTGATCTTGGTACCAAAAGCAAGTCTCCGCATATAACAAATTGTGAAGAGACCAAGAAGCGCTCATGAAAGAGGTTAGAGAAAGAGCAAGAGAAGTAGGTGTAGAGCGAGGCATCTGATGGAACGAAGATCGTAGAAGGACCGATCCAAGCAGAGGCAGCGGTGGCCTCAAAGTCAGAGAGTGAAGGAGTCGTCATGGCTAGCTCGTGGAAGCCAAGATGGGACAAGATCGAAGGGATGAGTATTGTGTGAGAGAAAAATGAGTGTTCTTGGAGTTCTTATGGAGTTGACGGTGTAGTTGCCGTTGTGGAAGGTGTGAAGCTTGATTCCAGTCCTTCAATGGCAGTCACCCTCGGGTCGTAGAGCATTGCGAGGATCGAGATTGCGAAGATCACTATGAATCGCAAAGAGATATCCGTGGCAAAGAGAGAAAAGGGAGAAGGCTAGTAAGAGAAGGGTTTCCTTCAGCAAATAAAAATGAAAGAAATGAGGAGGTAGAGGTATTTATGCGCGAAACTATGAGCGAGGGAGCGATTAAGAGGCAGTTGTTAAAGAATGATCATGTGCGCGTGAAAGGAGCGTGGAACAGGAATCAGCGAAGCATGACTGTTGTGTGGTTGTTAGAACGTTCTTGAATCTTATTTCAGTTATATATATTTGGCCTAAAATGTGAAACGGAAGGGACAAGTTTGTAATTTTCTTAATTCAATCAGAAAATTGTTACAAGGCTCATAAAAATGAAAGAAATGAGGAGGTAGAGGTATTTATGCGCGAAACTATGAGCGAGGGAGCGATTAAGAGGCAGTTGTTAAAGAATGATCATGTGCGCGTGAAAGGAGCGTGGAACAGGAATCAGCGAAGCATGACTGTTGTGTGGTTGTTAGAACGTTCTTGAATCTTATTTCAGTTATATATATTTGGCCGAAAATGTGAAACGGAAGGGACAAGTTTGTAATTTTCTTAATTCAATCAGAAAATTGTTACAAGGCTCAGGAGGGCCAGGATTCATCACTCCAACTTATGATGAGTCAGGCTGCAATGCTGTGAATTTTCGAGCCCAGTTATACTGGGTAAAGAAAGCCTCAACCAAAACTAAATGTTCCACGGGAAAAAGAATTCTTAGCCCTCTCCTTTTCTATATAAAGGTCCATCATAGGGCCTAGAAAGACAGCCGATAAGTCCATTTTCCTAAGGTGACAAAGAGTAGGCCCAACATAGAACCCCAAGCAATCTAACAAGCACACGCAGTCACATAAGACAGGTTTTTCCCATGGGAAATTGAAAGATTTGAAAGTAAACATGGTTTATGGATGATTATATAGAAGCTTTCAAGTTTTTGTCTTCCTAAGAAATGAATTTGTTAGAGGAAATATACATTGGTTTCATTGTTAGAGGCTTGCAACAAAATGTTAGGCGAAAATTGCATATCTTCAAGCTTCAATCTTTGGGTTCAAACCATTCAATTGGACAAGAATATAGAGGTGCATATATATATATATATATATATATATATATATATATATG